ATACTACGGTCATAATACACACGTGCATTGATCTTAGCCTTCATAGACTGCGTATGACAGACCTCAAGCAAATCCCCACTGGTCTCTGCAATCACACCCTTGAGCAGGACTTACTCCCTACTACCTCGTGGGTCAGACTATGAAGTCAAAGGCTCTGGGTGCAGTTCCTCAATCGAACCTCCTTTACACCCGCTGCCTTATGGGTCAGGCTTTGGAGCCAAATGTTGCGGATGGAGTCCCCCAAGCGAACCTCCATGTACCTCACTGCTTTATGGGTCAGATTGGTGAGTCAAAGACTAGAAGCAGAGCATCTTGGATTAAACCCCTCTCTCGGAAGGGGCCTCCGGAACGTACCATCTGCTCTCTCGACCACGTCGACAATACTCCCTCTACTTCCTCCTTTCACTCTCCTCTTCTGTATTGAGTAAGGGATTTCCAATTACCTCGCAGCTGTTGACATTGATTCACATAGCTCGTTCACCAATACTAGAGTTTCACTTCACATTCGTTCTTTTAACGTCCGCACTCTGGGTCAGACCGGCCAGCTGGCAGCACTGACTCTCACTTCACTCTTTTGGCATTGATGTGTGCTGTCTCCGAAACATGCTTACAAAATAACTACGTTGTGACGATTTTTCGCCTTCTTGATTCTGAATCTGACGCCGATTATTATACTCTTCTCGTCTCTGGGTGTACTGAGCCAATGGCTCAAGGTCTTTACAGTGTTTGTATCTGTATCTGCAAAGATGCTGAAAACAGTCTACTCTATTGGACGCCGGCGAACAGTCTCATTTGTGCGGTTTAACTTCAAACCCCTTTTGAAGTTAATAAACATCATTTGAAGACGAAGCGCTTTTTCATCGCATTAGTTTATGCTCCTACTGAGTGCAGTTCGAAGAGCATCAATGACGATTTCTGTCGTGGACTCTCATATCCTCGCATGGCGAGGAATACTGACATCATAACTGTTTCTGATGATCAGAATGGTCAAGTGCGTCATTTTCAATTCCGAACAACACCTAGGTTTCCACCTTTGGGTCGACGCACGCCGAACAGATAGCTGTTTTCGATTCCTGCAACTGTACATCGACCATAGCACTTACAGTAGCAACACCGTTTTCTAGCACAAACGTTCACACTGCGTCACCTGGCGCCCACCGAATTTCTTATTGACCTGGACCAAAATTTACCATATTGCCATCAGCTACAGGTGGCGCACATCAATCCAAGACTGTCGGCCACGTTGGAGCACGTGCTTGGATTTCGACAAGGCCCTAGTGTGCGCACACCTTACGCTCACCCTCCCCGTTTGATAAGCGGCGCCTATCTTCTAACTTTCCTACTTTTAACTTGAACTCGCAGTCTACAGTTCTACAATATAACAGACTGGCCTACTAATGGTCATCTATGAATGATGTTGATGAGATGCGCGCTGACTGGGATCGTCTCAAATGTGTCACGAAGAGTGCCTTTGGCACCTACTATGCACCTAATTTGAGACGTCTTAACTGAGACATCGATCCGTTTGAACGAAGTGCGGAAACAAGTTCCGATGTGCACATCGTTTCAGCAAGTGTGTAATTCCTTGAAAGGATGTGTAACAGGAAGTTTTCCAATCGACCGGGAATGTTGCTGGATGGCAAGGGTCCGTGAGATAGAGAAAGCCAGTGCCATTGGGAACAGTCGAGTCCTAATCCTGCTCATCGGGAATACAGGTGCGAGGAAACCATAAGTTATTGAGACAATAGCTGAGTAAGATGGACAATTCATCTGTTTTCAGCGTCGTCGACTACCTCTTGGAGCGAAATATTTTGAAGAGCAGTTCAGCAGGCTAGTTGTGCCGCTGCCGCTTGCCGAATCACCTGCGCCTACTTGAGAAGTCGATTTCACACCTATTTTTGTAGAGATTGGACATGAATCTTGCGCGTTGGAATGAAACAAGACTCTTGCACCCGATGACCTTTCTCTATCTACTGAAGCGGTGACTCTGAAACACTGAAGAAGTACCTTCAGACTGGCGACTTTCAACTGTCGTCCCCATCTTCTAGGGGTCAGCGAAAATCTTCGAGGCATTAGCCATGTTTCCGGTGCCTCCAAACTTCTCACGGGTATCATTGTTTTACGACTTACTGGTTTCCGTGAGAACGGAAACACTTGAAACCATGTTGGCTTCCGCTCTGGTCGTGGTTGCAACCATCATCTACTAAACCTTCCCTAAGTATAAATGCACAGACAAAGGGGACCGGCTGTGGTTCTTTTCCCTGACTTGGAAACCGCCTTCGACTCTGTTGACCGCGCCAGCTCGTGGCACTGTCTTTCCACGAAGGACGTGCCAGCTAAACATATTTCTGTTATGCGGTCTACCGCAATTCCCGAGACTGTGTAGTGGCCTACAGCAAATAGTGTCCTGAGTGCCCTACGACAAGGGTGTTTGCCAAGGTTGCCCTATATCTTTTTTTGCAACTTTGATATCGATATGGTTATGTATGACTCGGTTCTTTCGAACTATTCTGGAGTGGAAGTTTTGCCAGGCAACCGACTGACAAATCTTGAATATGTGGACGTCATAGCTCTCATTGGGTCTCGTACAGTTGCTATCCTTGCAGAACTGGACCGACACACTACCGATTTTAGCTATCATTGAACATCTAAGTATGGTCTGAGTTTTCCTCCATCCAAATATTAAGCTTTAATTCAGGCTCCTGTGCCTACGCTCACCATTTCGGGTGTCAGCTTGGAGCTTGTTAACAGCTTTACTTACCTCGGGAGTCGCATTACGGCTGGTGGCGGTATGAACGATAAAATTTCACAACGAATTGCTAAAGCTCGCCTTGCATTTAGTAGACTGAGACACTTGTGGCATCGTCGCGATGTCAGTCTCAAGCTCAAAGGCCGAGTGTACAATGCCACAGTTTGTGCTGTCCTATTGTACGGCTGCGATACATGGCCTGTTCGATCGGAAGATTTGAGACGACTGTCTATTTTCGACAACCGCCGCTTGCGTTCGATTGCTCGCGTATGGTGGCAGCACCACTTGAGCAACGCGGAAGTTAGAGGCAGGATAACGGGAGTGGACAGTTCTCTTCTCCAGAGCATAATCTTACTGCGCCGCTTGCGTTTGGTCGGTCACGTGCTGCGCATGCCGGCCCACCGCTTTCCATGTTGCACATTATTTTCACTTCCTGGACGCGAATGGCAAAAGAGCCGCGGCGGACAACCGATGACCTGGAAAGGGAGTATGGAGCTGTTAACTTAGTGTCTAGCGTCAGTTGGATCCGTGCTTCTCCCATGCTGGAGACCACGTGAAGCGGATTCCCAATGGTTGGAAGTCTTGGAGGATATGGCCCGCAATAGAAGTCAGTAGTGTCACTCTTGTTCTACCGTCTCTGCATCCTGTACTTTTTAATGTTGAACAAAACATGAAAACAAAAACTCAAAACGGCGTGTGTGAAACTGAAAAAAGACTTTTTTCCAACCTTTTTATCTCCCGTTAGACATTATGTTCTCCTGTTGTATGAGATTCCGGGGTGCGTGCTGGATCGGCTTGTTGCTCATTCTGCATTTGTGTATGCACATTGAACGATCCAGAACGGAACTCTGTTTTGATTTGATTAAGCGGAGGCGTGAGATCTTGAGACTGTCTTATCCCGGTTTGGTGCTGTGTGATTGCTATATCGACACTTTCATCAGAGTGCGCGATACTGCTCATCGATGAGGGGCCATACGATGGCGGGGGAGGATGATACAGAGTAATTGTATATAACTAGGTGGTGTGTGATTGAGAAGTACTAGTAACAGTAGCGGGAGAGCAAACTATTAGCAGAGCGAGCGTGTGTCGTTCAGTTCAGCCCCATCGTTCCTCATTAGGCGAAACACTGCCCGGTTGCCTAGGCCGAAGTATCATTAGGGTTTCATTAGGAGACAGCCACCCTGAATCTTTGGCTAAAAGTCCTAACCCACAAGGCAGTGGAGTCATATAAGGGACTCACAACTGTTGGGAAACGGTGACCGATCACTCGTTTCACAAGCTTATCTGATGGCTAAAAATCATACCAGAGACCCAACCCTCACGTCGGCAATGACTTTCCTTACTGGCGAATTACGTCTGTCACGTCACAGTGCTTTCATTTGGCTTTTGTAGCAAAAACCCACTGCGCCATCCAGCGTCGCTGTTGAATTGTCCCCGACTGCTTATTCATCTCAGTGCAAAGCACGCGAGGTCCACTCAGTTACCTCCGCAAATGAGCCATTCCCGGTAGCCTACAACTCGGCTACGGCTGAACAGCCGTCGCATCGGAGACGTGGAATAAAGGCTTGAAAAAGTTCCTGCACTCGGTTTCTTACTTGTAGGTGTTAATTTTCGTTCCATTCTGATTAGTCTGACGCACCTACTTCTTGCTTCCGTTTTCTTTACATGTTCTTTGCATCCAATCTCATTGTCTTAACATTGTTACGTATTGTTATTCTTGCTATGTGAGTCGTCGCAATTGAATGCTCGGATCATAGCTGTTCGACTGAACTGAAATGAACTTATCCCATTCCAGGATGCCACTTGGCACTTGTGCATATTTCTAACAACAGTGAGTTATACGAGGTGGTTAAATCAGCTGTCTACCTGGGACTCAGTCTATCTTTCATCTTGTTTTTCGTGTTTAACCTATTCAGATTATTTGGATGTACTAGGTTTCAAGTTCGACTGGTGATCCTAGCTTCCCACAATTTTCATATGTTAATTTTGCGGAATTTCTGTCATATTCCTTTGGATCACGCATCATAAAGAAAATCTCACCAATTCTAACACTTTCCCTTCGATTTTACTATTAAATCATCTTAGATCTTACGAACGAAATCTCGTTCGGAGATTAGCTATTTTTGACCGCATCAAGTGGGTGTTTTTGTCCCCACAGTCATGCTACCTATCACTCTCGCCTGATTTCCCTACATGTCCTTGGCGCGTTGAGCTCACATGATTTGCCTCTACTCCTTGCTTTCTCTCCTAGGCGACAGCAATGTCGGCAAAACTAGTCTATGGTTTCAATACACTGACAACACATTTAATCCGCACTTCACATCCACCGTTGGCGTTGACTTCAGACAGAAGCGAATAGTGCGCGAGTGTAGAGATGCCAATGGCTTGTTGGGATCCAAGCAACGCCTACATCTCCAACTATGGGATACTGCAGGACAAGAACGGTAAGCTTTTCCTTTCAAAGGAATCCTGATACCCTGTGCCTATTTTGCTCTGACGATTCATGTTATATGACTTTGCTTTATCGCTTAGCTTAACAAGTAGGCCCAACTCAATATAAGGCTACTGTGACCGGATGAGTGTGTTATCGACATTTTGCACAATCCACTGCGGCGTCTTCAAAATTCGTAGTTGTATGAGTGGAGGAGAAAAACTAGAGCAAAATGCACGCATATTATTCCAAACGGTTCCACGTCACCAGGCAACGACGGCACATTACTGGAGGGGATCATCGGGCTTTGTGTCCTGTTACCAGGACAGCAATTAAAGCCAGTTTGCTGTCATCCGGCACTGTTTTTCCTCACATTACCACATCACTTGATAATCCGTTGAATGTGTTCGTGCTTTTATATTTGAAATCAACAAATCGAAAGTTGTGCACAGCATTTAAAAGTTTTTTCAGAGTGTCCACAGAGCAGATCAACACCAATTGCCGTGGAGGTGGTTCAACTTAAAGAAATTTGCAAATTAGCCCGAAAATACTAATAAATTGGCAGTAGATAGTGTGAAAATGATGTTCTGGTGAGACCATCAGTGATCAACTTAAATGCTGTGCCATATGTATGTTAAAAAGATAGTTCTTCTATTCCCAAATTCTGACTCGCAGCCTCAGGCTGTGTGACGTCATGTAGACGTTGCCTTGTTTCGCATCATCAAACTGATCCTCGGACTAGGAAGTCAGTGATGAAGAACGCAGCTGGTTGAAGACTCCTGAAGACATGGCGTGCAATCGGGGACATTGTAATATTTGCATGGATTTATGCATTGATTCTACTGGTCAGCATCGTAATCCCTATACTGACATAAAAGACAGATCAGTGTGAGAAAAACACAAAAGTTTTCTCCTTGCGTATTTTCCATTTTGCGGTCTTCGTACTTTTATGCACATTCATTCCATGGTTGCTCCGTAGCTGTATGTCTATTGTATAGACAGTTGCTATTATATCCAACCGTGTTCAAAAAGCGAACTTCTGAAACAGCGAACTAACCGGCAAATGTAGCGCACTGTGGCTACTGCGCGCAGGTAAAGGCATGCTTAGACAACAAACTGCCACTTGCTGCATTTCGCTCTGATTGTCAGTTGACGTGCTACAGCCACTGAAGTGAGCCCTTGCGCAAGCTGCTCGTCGGATTAGTGTCCAGGTAATAATTTAAAAAAATTGTAAAAGATTGTGTGTGTGTGTGTGTGTGTGTGTGTGGATTTTTGATACAAACTTGGTAAAACATTTACAGACATTTCAGTTGATCAGCCAGGCATATTGCGAGGACTATATGCGTCTCACGCAGTGCTTTAAGTAGTTTGAGCGTTTTGCATCTCGGTGGAATGTCAGTGGGTGATGACTCCAAGCATGCACGACATTGCACATCAACAGACCATGACCACACCAAGAGCGTTCGTCTGTGTTCCGTAGAACTCGTCGTCTAACTGTTTGGAAAGTTGATGACTAAGTAGATCTCTGCTGGAATCATGCCATCTATTTTGGGTGACAAAATTGAGGTGCATCGTGGTATTGCTGCGTCGCTTGTTACACCATGATAATGCACCGGCTCACGCATCACTCACTACCCGCAGCTATCTACCAAAACATCAAATTGCCACTCTGTTCCATCCGTGGTATTATCTGGATCTAGCCTCAGTAGACCTTTCCCTGTTTTCTTAATATCACACTGAAAGGAAGTCATTTCTAGAACATAGAAGAGATTAAGCACAATGCGACAGAAGATCTGTCTGCCATCCCAGAAAGTTCATTCCAGGAACATTTCTAAAAATGGAAGCACCGTTGAGAAGCGTACCTTGCCAATAGATAGGACTACTTTGCGAGGGATAGTGTTTAAAATGTACAGTGAGCACCAAAGATGATATAGCAAATGTTCGCTTTCTTTTTAAACACGGTACTATATCATGCCATGAAATCAAATTTCTGAACTGTGAATCTGGGTATATTTGATTTTCGAGCTTAGTTTTGGCGTTCCGTATATTTATGAACAATTATATGTTCATTTTCGCACTCCAACCATTGAGCCATCTTCACCTACATCCATCCATATGTAAGCGGTTTCAGCCACGTTCCTGTTCAGTTCACCCAGCCATGTGCAATTTTTTATAATCCTAATCCATTTATGTGAATTGCGCACCTTTGCTAACTCGCATGATGTTAGAACTGTAACACTGTTACACTACGCTCTTTGTATCTCCGCCATAATATGAGTTGTACTTTGTTATGCTGCCAAGATCACGGGTAAGCCTAGCTAAGCGTGTTTCATTGGGGACGCGATGAACATATTGACGTCAGATGTTTCCAGATAGCCTTTGAAGCAAAGCAATCTTAAGGTAAAAGAATATAAACCTCTTCTAGCTGACATCTAGGATTTTATTACAGGTTCCAAGGAGCATCTACTATAGGTAATGTCTTTTGACGGCGATGACGCTATCCTTACTCTGTGTGTGTGTGTGTGTGTGTGTAACGCACCTTTCTAGCTGCATCAATTCACAGGACGCATCGCCCGTTTCCCGCTTGGATGGCTTGCCAGTGACGAACACTTGATTACGGTAACTTTCACACCTGGAGTCATTCTTTTCTCAACACCGTGCATGAATGGCAACCACTCGCCCGATCCTATTAATTAGTGCGATCACTCTAGCTAACATAATATCTTGCTTGACTTTCGTCGTTTTTACTTGCTGTTGGTTTACCCATATAATAGCGGTCCCGAAAAACCAATGACTGACATGTTGACACTCCACTCTAAGTATAGTCTCCATTCAGTTACCGTAATGTTTGCGAACTGGCAGGTACCAAACCGTAAATCGCTCTACATCCGTCCACCTCGATTCGACCACTCAGGTAGCTGGACCGAGTAACCAGTTCATTATCGGGCAGACTGTTATATCTGTCACAAGCATCCACTATACACTTTAGTTGGGTGAACTTATACGTAAGGGTAGAGCAGCCAGTCCACTTATCCATAATTAACTCACGAGATAAGGCCATCTTATCTTCGGGCACTAGCTTGAAACCTTCTCTGTGGAGAGTCCCGAAACATGGTAAAATGCAGCAGAGGTGAATAAAATGTGCAACTCACTGCGAGCTTTGAAGCATCTGATTGTAGCTCAAGCAGTGTTTGCGCGTTTCGTTGCGACATTGTATATGACAAGCTGTCAATGCAAGCTACTCCACCGCATGGGTACTACTTTTATTTTCAAATCTCCGTATCTTCGCCACCACAAAGAGAAATGGTTACCAGAGCCACATTTTCGAATGAAATTACCACTGTGGTTATCTAAGCTCAACCATAAATCATCTGGATTTGTGATGCGGATTTTGCACCGACCAACCAAATTACCTCTTGGCACGCTTCATCCACCTATCACTCGGACTTCTCTGTAGTAGATGAGGGCACAGATCCGTCCCTATGGATCGCTGGTCTCAATTCCGACTGTGCTTCCTACACTGGCGCATAGCACTCGCTCTCTTGCATGCAGCGAGTCGACTAACTTCGAACTTACTTTTCGGCCAAAATTGCAATCCTTGAAGCAGCACCATCTGTTTCAGTTGGTACGTCGACCATCACTGACACGTGAGATGAGCGCACCAGATATCGCTTTGAATCGTCTCCGATATCGATAGAGAACGCACTGGAACAAGCTTGTACGCTTAACTCTAACGGTTCTGGCTATGAGTAGATTCTGGATGTTTCAATTAGTGTGGTTGAAGTTTTGAAGCCCTCTCTGTTGAATACTTGATTCCAGACAGTGCCTCAACACCGAAGGTACCTTTGACAACGAACCTGACCACCGATGTGGGGCAATGCATTGTTGTAAACGCCATAGATAAAGAAAGCCAGTACAGTTAAGGGTGGTATATTGCTCTTCAAACCCACTTGAAACAAGAGCTGATTGCAACTCGCGTCCCAATCATAATACTGTGGGTACTTCAAAATCCAAGAATGAACAATCCCCGCTTTGTTAACGTTGCTCAGCAGCTGCTGTAGTTTACGTTAGAAGACCTTCCTGACCGAGTCACGGTTATGGTCAGTTGGATGGTATGCGCTGATCAAATTCAAGTTGCGTTTGTCTCCGTGACACCTGCGGATTCTGCATGAGCTCCGAAGCCGAACTGCCGTTTGACCGAATCGACAAAAGCGTTCAAGTCAAGAAGGATCACAATTAAAAGCACTCTGCGTACATTCCGCTGCTCCAGCATTATCGGAGCGAAAGGCAGTCAGCCTCAGTTACTCGACTTTCACGATCTCTGTTAGGCTGCGGTTCGGTTCGGTTTTGTCAACTTTCATCTGTACACCGGAGAGCGGTGGATCCATGTGCCTTGATATAGGTCATTAAAATGGATAACAAGTATTGTTATTACTAACATTCGTAACAATAAATAGGCATGCTCAAGTATTTGCATCGTCAGCCGTGCGTACAGCTCTCCTGTGTGGTTGCGAAACGTGGCCCATCAGATCGACAGAACTGCTCAGCAGCGTTATTTCACACGCCAGACTGCGATGCTTGGGCCACGTTTTGCGCATGCCAGTGCACCGACTTTCGCGATGTGCATTGTTTATACGGTGTAGATGCAAGAAGAGACGTGGAGGACAAGTGATAACTTGGTCAAGAAGAATGAAGACGCTCACTTTGAATTTAGCACCAGTTGATGCCTCTCCACTGCAGGGCTGGGGACCGAAAAACCACATATGGATACACTTGTTGGCATGGCCAAGAGCCGGCCTTAATGGCGTTTTCTGTTGTGAGATCATTTGTTCCTTTTTCATCCACCCACAATCCAAGTCAATGCATACTATGCAACTATACTACAACTACTATCTTACCTGTTTTTGTATTCCGTTTAGTTTCTCACGTTTTCCTACATCTTCACTTTTTATATTGCGGCGCGATAGCCAAAGTGTGTCCTTCAGCTCCAGCTAACTTGTACTCCTGATGAGG